CCTCCGCCTTCACCATGTCGATGGCCTTCGTCCATGTCGCTTCCCCGCCCGGGTCTTTGAGGTTGGGAAACTGTAAGCCGAATAGCGCGGCCCGCTGCCTGTCGATCGCGCCTGCACACGGTAACAACCACAGCAGGGCCGACCACGATTTGCTGTAAACGAAATAGTCTGGTCTACAACAGCACAGCAGGGTAAAAAAGCCTGGATTTTGGACCGAAGAAAAGACGCTATGTGTTAGTCTAAATGAGTTTACGAGAACATGTGTTTTCTCCAGCCAGTCTAGTCTTCTTCACCCTGCTTGCAGTAGGATGAACAATAAGGTGCGCTCGCATGCATCATTGATGATACGCTATTGTACCTGGGGACCTGTCCGACAGGGCTGGACCAGTAGGAGCTGGAGCTGCAGGCGACGGGGTCGAGTCTTGGCGCAACTCTTGCACTTTCTCCGAAGTGATGAGCTGCGCTATCGCCAGGCGACGCGGTCGTGTTGTCAGCAGCTCCTCCTTCGCCAGCGTCACCAACAACAGGTGCATTATCGTCTACCACGATGTCCTCGCTAGTCCCGGTGGAAGCCAGCAACGCTGGGAACCCCGAGCCTGGCTCACTTTCAAAACCAAGGCCGTCCGGAGCAACGCCGGCAGCAGCAGGAGCAGCAGCAGCAGCAGCAGCAGCAGCAGGAACCCACTGCTCTACCCGCATGACGCCCACTTCTCTACCACTGTGTTGAAGCTGACAACGTCGAGGCTGGTGCGAGCCCGTGGGGTGCGGTGCGCAGCAGTGGAGGGGTAGACTACTTAATCCCGTGTGCCGTCGGCTGCTGTTGGTGCAAATTCAAAATAGGTTGCGCGTGTACAAATTCAAAATAGGTTTTGTAAGGTCATGGTTCTGGAGGCGTGTCTGACTGGCACGCGGTTTTTCTGTGCCAGTGCTGGAAAATTTTCGCCGCGGGCACATGTTATGCATGGCTGTCAAGAGACAACGAAGCGCGCCCATGGACAAAGCATGGGTGTGCGCCTGCGTAGGCTGTACGTGTCAGGTGACATTTTGTAATTTTCGGTCGTATACCATGGCCAGGTATTTAATGCATGGGATAACGGCCGGCACAGGTGGTGCTGACAGATGACCCGTCGGAGAGGTAGGCGGGGCAACCGGGCTGGTGGGGCTAACAACCCCACAGGTCAACCGGCTACGCCTCGGAACCGGCCTGGAAGCTCTGTTACACCCGGAAGCGGGGGTATGCAGCCAGCATGGGACCTTCGTCAGCTTACGGAAGGCACGCTAACCCCGCGTACTCCAGCGGTCGATAACTCAGGGGGAGACGTAACAAGTGAACGTCCACGGATCGGGAGCAGGAGCGAGGGCAACCTAACCACTGAGGTGCGCACCCCCCCCGCCGCGACAAACCGCGACGCGAGAGATTCCGGTGCACGCGTCCGTCGGACGGGAGGAAAATCCAGGTCGGGCAGGAAGTGCAGAATGGGGCCCTCTGTTGGTGTCACGGGTGGTGGCCTACCCAATCTTGAGAGCAAACTCGAGGAGGAGGATTACTACAGACAGCTGGGCGAGGCGAGGAGGGAGGCATCGGCCCGTAAAGCTCGCTCGATTGCCAAAGACGAACGGCGAAAAGCAGAGTCCGCGGGGAATCACCCCGTTGATCCTCGGCGTGGGAGTCACGGCGGGAACCCAAGACAAGCCGATTATCAGCCTGGAAAGCGGAATGCGGGTAGGAGACTTTCTGCCCCACCGGTGCTATCTGTACGCCAACCAACAAGCAAGAAGCGAAGATAGGCGTGCGAGGGTATGAAATGCGGATGGGTTACAGACCACCCTGGCACCGAGTGTAGCAAATGTCGATCATCCAGCTGGTGTAGATGCGCCATGGCGTAAGCCTTGAGATGGGAGGGGTAGGTGCCACGGAGGCGCTTTCCGGAACCGAACCACTCCTTCACTTTCGAAACGGAAACGACCCTACCCCTGGCGTCGAGCGGCAGCGAGGGCCAGACATCGGCGAGGCGGAGCTCTCCGTGGTACACTTTATCGCTCGGGCGAAGAAGTACTGGGGGAAAAGCTTCGACAAGTGGATCGTTTCATCGGCAGACACGGACCTATGGATGATCATTCTACTGCCGATGACCACTGGTTGGCTTCGGCCTCGTGGCGAGGGGGCGGTTGACGTGACCGTCCAGAAGGTCGTGGGTGGCGAGACCAAGTTCCAGTGGGTGAACAGAGTATTCACCAGCATCTGCAAACTCCAGGACGGAAGCGAGTCCGCGTGGCCGCTATTGACCTTCAGGGGCTGGATTCCCACGGGCAACGACAAGGTCCGTCTGTTCGTCTTAACGTTCCTGGAGTCGGGCTGTGACTACCTCCCGGCAATTTCCGGGCTGCCGTTCGACAAGATGTGAGTACTGGCCCTCAAGAGCGTGCGGACGGAGATTTTGTTTGACAAGCCGCTGTTCTTCCAGGAGCCGGATGGCACGTGGGCCATGCATGTCGACGAATGCGCGAAGCTTGTGGCGACCATGTTCTTCTACAAGGATGAAGCGGCGTTTGGCACTGCTCATTTGACTCCAGCCCAGCTGGTGGAAAGCGTTGACGGCGACGTCGAGGGCTACGTGAACGTGATCCGCTACGCCATCCTCCAACTCCCCAAGAAGAAGACGACAGCCACCCGTCCATTTTTTTTTTTCTTGCGCAAGCAGGCAGAACAAGGTAACGCCATTTCCAGTACTGGCAGCATGGCCTGAGGGAGACCATGCCGGCGACAGAGTTTGCCGGCAAAGGATGGAGCGTCGACCCACGAGGAAAGGGGAGCGACGGCGACGAACTCACAAAGGAGAACTGGGTGCTTGACCTGTCCGCGTATGCTTACATCGCCCCTGACCGAAAGACAGTCACGCTTGCGTGTGGTTTCAATCCGGACACAACCCTGTGCAACAGGTGCAGGTGCAAGAACAAGAAGTGCTCGCTCGTTTGCGGCTGCAGAAATCGTTGCACCCTACGGCGGGCGGCGGCGGCACCCGTGCGTGCAGGGGGGAGGTCTGCGTCACGGCCTACGGTGGGTGCTTGTCAAACTAGGCGGGTAGAGGGTACCTCCCGACCCCAACCACCCATCGCGAGTCGACCACAGCCATCCTACAGTGTTGCCAATGCCATGGCACTCTTTGCCGCCTCTATGAGGCAGCAGGAATCGCATGGAGCGGAACAGAACGATGTGGAGGCGGGATCCCCCGAGTCGCCTGCGAGCAAGGACGTTTCCGCCGGCGAGGCCGCGGAATCTAAGAGCGCAGAGTTAGAGGACCCCGAGTCGGACGAGAAGTGCGACGGTTCGGTCGGTGCACTCGACGATTTGATCCAGTTGGATTCGAGCGAATCTGGCTCCAGCGATGGGGGACCTGACGGGGTGAGCGAGAAGAGCGTCGACTCCAACTGGAGTGACGGAGAAACAGATGATAATGGTGTTGCGGATCTCGTCATCGACGCCTGGAACTGAGATCTGGCTACTTCTTCAGGCAGGTACATATATCGTTCCTTAGGATTGGGATTGGGGATGTCGTGCTTGGCATTATTGCACGTCAGATCTCCACGTCGTACCGACAGATCGTGTGGTCTGATTTATTATAACTCCATGTTTTGATGACATGTTTCGCGAGTCCTTGTTGGTGGTTGAACAGGTCCGTCCGTGCTTTACTTCCGTTGGATGCATCCGTCCACGAAATACGACGACCCCGAGATATCAGACGGGCGAACGGCGCGCGCGTTTTCTCCCCTGTATTTCCCTACCCAGTTGCGCAGGGAGGTGGACGGGGGGCATTATTTTTCGGCCGCGCTGGGTGTCCGTTGTTTATTGGCATTGTATTTTGTTAAACGCACACTGCCTGGTGCTGTGTGCGTTCCGGCCCTGCCTGTGTTGTTTGTACTGACTGTAAGTAAGGTGCTTGTTCTTTCCTTCAGTTCGGGCATGATGTTGATACGTGTGGGCAACCCGGGGGGGGCAGTCTTGTGTGCAGTGTTCGTGTGTAAGTATTTCCTCGCGTTTTCGACACACCCAATGCTCAGTGCGTACATGTATTCGTGTGCTTTGAGAAAAAATGCGTCAACAACTATGATGTGTACATATTGCCGGCCGTGCGTGTCTGCGTGCGACGTCAAGTAGCACAAGTTTACCAGTGATCAAGTTCCCTGTAAGTGTAGCTGCCGTGATACTGTCGCTACTCCATCCTCTCATAGTTTTTCTCCGGGATTCCGGAGAGTTGTACTCCTGGGTGGGGGGCCCGAGTCAACAAGCACAAGTCAGAAGTGTGTGCGGTGCAACACCGCTGCAGGAGAGGGGGGCACCTCAACAGCAATTTCAGTTCAAATCCAGCTGACGCCATTCAAGAGTTTTCCACGTGTAGTACGTCTTGCAGCACAATTCAAGTGCTGTACAACCGCAAGATTAGCAGCTAACATTACCAATGCTTGGTTTTGCCGGCGGCGTGGCAGAAAATAAGCATGGTGCCTGTATGTTGGTGCAATTTTTCAACTTTATCCGTGTCTACCTCTTAAATCTCGCCACCAATCAAGCTCAACCCTTCTGCAATATATTCTACGGTGCTCAGTTCATCTTCCCTCAAAAGTTGGTGGCGATTGATGCTGTAGTGGGCGCGTTCTTGTGCTTGGTCGCTTTGGCGGGTGCACGGCAGAGTGGTTGCGCCGCGTAGATACGAGTCTCACATTTTTTTAGGGGAGGTGCTGCGTGTTGCGCCGACAAGTTTGAAGCCTACAGTGGACGGAATTTGGCAAAGCTTGGTTCCCTAGATAGCTACTGGAATAGTCTACTGCTGTAAAGCTTTAACCTTGGGTGGATGTACGCCGGTCGCGCTACTCTTCTGTGTAAAACGATATTTCTTTTCGTTCCTCCGCCATTTTTTTTTTATTCAGTCGTGCAGCACTGAACGGCGGGCACCGCGGCGAGGGAGTGCTTCACCCTCCTCGTTAAAACACCACAGGCAAGAACCGAGCTCTGCAAAAATGGATTGATGCGAGGAAATTCGCCGCTCGGAAAATACGGAAGAAAGCGCACCCGCACCGCGAGGCAGACCGAGAGAGACCCGAGACCGCAGCAGCCGTCAAGGCGGCTGCGAAGAAGAAGGCACGAGAAGGCGACCTATCGTTCGGCACGTTCGACGTACGCACGCTCGCCTACAGCGGTAGGAACCCCATCGGTCACAACGTGATGACGGTCATGCAGATTTGTTCCGCGACCGGCTGTGATGTGATGGGACTTCAGGAGACCCGACGAAAGGGGCAAGGTTCAATTGCACACGACGGGTACGTAATGATCTGAGTGGCGCCCGTGCTGGCACCAAGGACAAGAGGGGCGTACATGGTGTGGGCATAGCGATCAAGGAGGCCATGTGGGAGAGTGTGGGCGAGGAAGGTAGGACGGTGGAGTGCATTAGCGCGAGGCTGATGAAGGTGCGTCTACAATAGGCCGCACCTGCGGAGTAACTTTCGTGGTGGGGTANAGGACGGTGGAGTGCATTAGCCCGAGGCTGATGAAGGTGCGTCTTACAATAGGCCGCACCTGCGGAGTAACTTTCGTGGTGGGGTACGCCCCCGCGAAAACTGTCCGCACCACCGCGGGCGGTGATCTTAACGCCAAGGACTCCTTCTGGACTGCTCTCGACGCAGCGCTCCGGGAGTTTCAAAGCCGTGACCATCTCGTGGTGCTAATGGGCGCCAACGCACGCACTGGTAGGAGGCGAGACGGGTGCTGCGATGCCAAGATTATGGGCGCGTACGGACGCGACATTATGAACAACAACGGGGAACGACTCCTTGGACTAGCATCAGACAACCACCTATCCCTGACCAACACCTACTTCCGGACACCGGAAGGTGGAGTGCGGCACACATTCCAGAGCCCCAACAAGGGGAAGGAGAAGTACCGCCTCGACTTCATCCTCATGCGTCAGACGGACCGGCGTTTCGTGCGCAATGTCTCTGTCAAACGTATTGACTTCAAGGACTCTGACCACAACCTCGTGCTTACGACTGTCCGCCTCCCCCCCCGTGTCGCACCGAACCGACAAGTGCGGGGGAACAGTTGAAGCAGCCGGATCCGTATCGACCTCGAGCGGTGGAGGAAGGACAAATACCTACAGGTCGCCTTCCAAAACAGGGCCTCCAGCCGCCCTCCGCCCACGGCGCTCAGGCAGCCAACGGGAGATACCGCCGCCGAGCTGACGGCTACGGTGATGTCGGCCGCTGCTGAGACCGCGCCGCTGGCGAGGTGCGCACGACGGCAGAGAGGCTGGTACACGAGCGAAGCGCAGCACGAGATCTCCGAAGCGTCTAAAGAGATGAAGGCGGCCCAGCAGCAACTGCGTGGGGCCTCAAAGAACAGCGCCTTCGAGGCGACCCTGAAGGCGATGCTCAAGGCGGCGCGGGAGAAGCACGGCATCGCAAGGTGGAGAGCACTGGACACGTTCTTCGAGGGCTATGTACGGCAGCTCGAGAAGAAGAGCCGCGAGGGGGATCATGCGTCGTGGAAGACGTTTGTTCGATACCGCGTTTGTACCTTAAACCGACACACCGTAAGGTTGCGTGGATGACGTCATCTCCATCTGTCCTGGACGTAAGACGTCACGCTTTGGGTCATTAACAACCGGGGTCGTCTCAGGGAAACACCCCACAGGACAGTACTGTGCATGCACTCATTCAACTCGCCGGAAATGGAAGTCAAGCAGGGCTCGCGTGCTAAATCGACCACCGTGTGTGTTGTTCACCACCTCAACGATGAATTCTTCCTCACGTGGGTTCGTTTTCCGAGGATACGTAGATATCAAGGCAACGTACATTCTTGTGAAGATGCGACTGTTTAGAGTGCTGCTAGCAGCGTCATGGGCGATCATCGCAAGTGAAACTTTGTCGAGGCTGGACGTGATCGATTTGCCGACAGGCTTCTTTCCGGAAGGCATCACCAACGGCGAAGGATGAACAGCCTTCGTGGGCTAATTGTCAAGTGAGAGCTCCACTACATTCCGCATTGACGTTGCCTGTGACTTTCCTGTTGCTCTTGACGAATCTAGTTCATCTCCCGATCAGTTCACTTTGTTTGGTGATTATTGACACACGGTCTAGAAATCGGTTCGTGCTATCCCGGGAAGAATGTTGCCACTTGAGCGACTGGACGTACGTATCCGATTCGCTCAATAACTGCGGAGGGTACCAGATCGCGTTTGCTTCCCCTCCATCAATCCAGGAGCTGTTCGCCCCCCCCCCTCCTTAGCACTGGTCCGTCCCACCTTTGTCAGGATGCGAGGTCAATATTCTAACGACTGCGGCATGCACGGCTGCAAGTGTACCTTCCTTCGTACGCCATGCCAGCGTCTGGAGGCGTTGTGACCCCATCGCGCTCCCTTGGCCTGTACTGACGAGGTTCCAATAAAGGACTCTCTATCTGTGCCGTCGGGCACACCAACATCGCAATATCGCACATCGACGAACTATAACGGCCCATCAATCAAGTTGATGTTGGCTCGGCTTATTTCGCTTTCGACCAATTTGGTTGAGACGGGCGGGTTTTTCCTCGAACGTCTCACTCTTAGTCTCAGCGTTCCTTTATGTTCAAGACTAAAGAGTTGCCCTTTGTTTGTCCATCCCGTGAATGATCCAGATGGGAACATCTGGAAGGGGGATCTCGAAATCGGCCAGGGCGACGTGTTTGAGCTTGGCGCTCCGGGCCCCGCCGTAGGCCTGGACCACGACCGCCGATCTGGCTATCTTTTCGTCGCTAGAGGACCTGTAGGTGCGCCACCATACTATGGTGTGTTGTAAGATCTGCTCTGTCCGATGGTTCTTCATTCCAGTGGCTTTTGATCGATTGACGATGGTCTGTGTGTTACCTTTCGGACTCGTGAATCCGTGCAATGTCATGGGTTAAAATGAACGAAAGCATCAAAATACGAAGGTGGAGAGAAAGAGCAACTCTGGCTGTGAAATTCTTTTTTGGGAGTCAGGTTGATACAGAGCGTTCCACAAGGTATAGAAACTGAGGTTCAGCATGAACATCGCAACACATGTGTCCATGCGGCACCGTCAAGTATATTGACACCGAGGTATTAGTTCCGATTCGTGCACACGCTCCTTCGTTGGGGTTGGCATGGAGCGAATGAATCCAGTCGAAATAAACGACGTTTGCATCACTCCCTTCATGGTCTGCAGCTTGCGTCCTTCGCTTGGCATACTGTCGTGCGGCTGGGTGATATGCTGACCTCTTCGGGCAATATTGCTACATGGCTGCATAAGGGCTTGATTCGGTCGCGGTATCTTGTCTGCGTAAATATTAACCATCCAAACAGCGGATACTAGTTTATTCAAGCTTGGTTTAACACATTATTGTGAGAGTTTGACGAATCGTCACGGAACAACTCGAAATCTGCACCATTGCGGGCGGACTCTGCAACCACGAGCGAACCAGGGCCCTTCCCGACTGTATGTATTAGAACCACCATGTCTCCCCTTATGTCTCTTTTTCGTGTCTCGTCTGACTATCGCACTTGTGACCCATCAGGCACGGCCCGCGTGTACGATGGGGATTTCGCTTTGGTCGCAGATCTGGTGCTGAGTGACGGCAGCTCGTCAATGGCGTCATCATCACCAAGACCGCCGCACTCTTCACGGATTCTTTTCAACCAAGGATATACAAGGCAAGGCAACTGCGCCCTTCTTTGAATGGATTTCGTCCAAGAGAATGGGGGCACAGCATGTCCCGTCGGGAGCACCCGGTGCTCCAAATTCGAGCAAAGTTTCCACCATTTCCATTGAAGAGGAAAGAGTATCGACGGTAAATTGCGACACTAAAATGTGCGGAGTCGTCTGCCCTGATAAGATGTTCAAGTTCGCGTTCGAACGGCCGACAAATGTATTTCTCTCTACGATGAATACGAGAGAGAACACCGCGTAGAGTGGAAACGATTTTCGGTCGGCGCGGCAATGAATCTGTAAACGATCATACGTCCTGTCCTCTGTGAGATACTCAATGTTTTCTCGTTTCTTGTCTTTGCACGCGAATTGTGGGTTTCCATTTTTCTCCTCAGGTGGTCTGATTCTCCTCTTGATGCGCCTTCTTGGAGTCAGTCAGGCGTTGACCGCGCAAGTTATCTTCCATTGATTAGTACACCACGTATGTCTACAACAACGACCTCGGGTATAGCGCATTGAATTGGTTTTACAGCCGGATTAATCTTTGATTGGTCCACAGGTGAACCTCGACAGGGAGACCGGTGCGTTGGTGGATGGATTGGCTGTCCACACGCTAGTCCTCAGCGACAACGTTCCCGTGTTGGAAGGCGCGTTCAATGTCAACGGTATCGAGGTGAGCGACATGTCGGAAAGGGCACAGCCCAAATCTGTGAGAACCATACCTCAGTAGCGCATGCGAAAGCAAGTGACCCAAAATAATGGTTTCCATTCTCACGTGTGAGGTTAACGTGCAATAAAATCTGCGCATGAAACGTTTGGCCCCTAACGCCTTAACATCGCACGTGCACATGCGCAGCAGTTGGAACGTTTCTTGTTCCTCCTCCGCCGTAAGACACGGTCCAGGTGTCCAGCGGAGAGAGAATCCATCTGCTTTGTATAGCCCCTCGCATTGTCTCGCCATCGCCCTAAAAACAAACGCACTACAGTACTACTATGTTCGTGCCATCGTGTCAATGAAATTATTATTTTAGAAATGAGTAACACCTGAGACCAAAAGCTTAGGATGTTTTTCCACTGAAGTTCTGATCGATAGAGACTCTTCCGTTGAGCTCCTCCGTCATCGCTCGCCGAGTAGTCCAGTGGAATAACCTTTTTCGATCAAACGATGTGAACGCGGTATCGATTCCCAGCTACATGGTACAACGTTCGGCAACCTGTTTAGCTCCAACTAGACTTTTCCAGCAGCGCATGGCACCGTGTATGGCGGTGAGTCCGGTCTAGGAGATCAATGCCAGAGCTTGGAGAGCCAAGGGGCCCAAGGCAGACCTGGTGACCGACCAAGGCTACTAATACTCAACGAGTCACCCGATAGTCTATTGCATTGGCCTTTGTCGGTCGGGCCCCACGATTCCATTTGCGGGACCCATCTACATAGAACGGCCAAGCTTGGCCGTAAGGAACGGGGTCTGACTGCAGTGGGGGTGCCAACAACCACGAGATTGTTTTTTGTGTGCCCCAAGACGGAATATATTTATCTAAGATCGCCACGCGCATTGTCATTCAATCGAGAATGATACATGTAGTACTTGGGCGAATCGATCCCCAACCATCGAAGATGCAAGGACGACGCCCATTCACGGTGGAATTTGCAATTTCCACCAAGTTGAATATCCTCCTGATCGTTCCCATTTTTTCTGGAAACTCCTCTCAGGCCACAGACGATGGCAGCGCGCTAATCATTGTCAACTCGGAATCGCAGCAGCTGTTCGCCGTCGACCCCGACACCGGTGCTGCCACTTTGATCGAGGCGAGCTTATTCCTGGAAGAGGCGATGGACTGGTGAGGGGATCCATGTTGCTTATTTGCTTGGCGTGTTTAGGTGTCTGCTTGATGCGGCCCGGGTAGGAAGTAATCAGTCTGAAACGTCTAGAAGCAGGCACACCGCATGCTGTCGCCATGAGCCCGAATGAATTACGAATTCTTCCCGATTCACCTGCTGCGCACGATTGGTTTAGGTGTTGCAAAAAAATACGCTGTGGGTCGTCGACAACCCACTCGAACAGATTTTGGAGGTGAGTTTTCAAGTGCCGACCTACTCTGTAGTAGCTGCAGCTTTTCTGCAACATTCCCAAGTACGTCGTCTTAACGCAGTAGACGTTCAGTACGAAAGAGGGCAATTTCGGGCGGAAATATGATTGGCATCGAGGCTTTTCACTCCGCCCCATTGTATACATGTACCAACCTTCACCGCAGGTGGCACACATTCCACCGACTCCCGCCCTTAACGAAGTTGAAAACACTCTCACCCTTTTCACGGTGGTGGTGTCCGCAACCTTTTGCATCTCTCTTTGGCTTGGAATACCCCCTTCGCAGTAATCATGTTGCTGTAGTTGTTGTTGTTGTGTTGATTTGGATCGAAGGGCAGGCGGACTGGGATATGTATGTTTCGTGGCAGTTCGCTCAGACGTTGTCGCTCACTCGTGTTATGTTACCGGTGCACTACTAGGCTTGTACCTGGAGCCCGCGACTGGGACAAGCTGAAGCTCGCTGTTGTAGAAACTGCAGCAAATGTGCATGAGCCACTATACAGTTGTGTAGGTTTGAAGGGGGCATGATGACGCTGGATTCTTGAACCACGAAGTCACTTGCGCCTCAACCCTCCGCAGCTTACGGTCAACTTGCATCAGCTGGGAAATACTGTCATTCTCATGACGAATTGGGATGATTTTCGTTAGCCAAGGTGCATGATTTGGGTGAAGCTTTCCCGGAACGAATTCAGGTGGTGATAACTGTCTTGTGACCGAGTAGCTTACGAGGTGGAGCTGTTTTTGACGCCATATGTTGCAAGGAAGCGGTCCACGCCCTCTTCGATCCGAAAGGGCAACAATACGCTCAATTTGCACGCACGCTCTACATTGCAACCCACAAACAGTTTCTCTCGCTGCCTCCCTTTTTTCGGTTGCGTGTGCCTAAACAGGTGCCTCTTGCGGCGAACCTGTCTTGCGGGTCACTGGCCCCACGCGCCCTATCGAACCCCCTCTTGGACACTCAGACCACTTCCATGCGCAAGGGAAACTCTCTATACGCGGTGAATGCCAACTTCGGCGTGGCCGCAGAGGATGTCGCCACCACGGCGTACAAGATTGTTCGTGTCGACCAAGACAGCGGGGAGAGCTGGCGTGCTAATTGCACCCTCCAAGAGCGTTCTTTAGCTGTTTCATAGTATGCATGTACTTTGAGCACGTTGGCCTATATGTCGTAACAACAGGGTTTGGCGCACACACTCACTCAAACCAAGAACAACGTTTCTATCAGTCCTGAATTTCAAGTGTTGTCTAGACTGCTGCTTCTACTGGAGTCTACTTGGGCAAGCAGCAATCGTGCAGTCGTAAGCGTAAATTTTCGTTCGGGTTAACATCCGTCACATAGACGGTTGAATCGAATGGGAACCTGGTGTTTCACCGTTAAACCAAGCATTACTGCTGTTAGCGCAGATCGCTGTTTCGATGCCCCCAGAGTCGACCGAAACAGACTCATTTTTGCCTCGTTTTTTCCCGGGAGATACCGTAGGTTGCATAAGATACCACACCTGTGTGATACATTTTCGGGGGGGCATAAGTTATCACACGGGTGTGGTAATCTGTAGGGGGGGTGATATCTTATGTCACCCGTATGACACAGTGCACTCACAGAGTCCCACCAACACGGGGTGTGCCGACAACGGGGTGTGATACCATCGCCCGTGTGATGAAGCGCGCTCACAGGACCCGCCTAACAAGGGGTGTGATAACAATCGGGTGTCATAACTTCACCCGTGTGATCAAGCGCGCACAACCGTGTGATGAAGCGCGCACACAGGACCCGGTCTGCCGGGGGTGTGATAATGTCGCCCGTGTGGTTGCAGTGCGCTCACAGGACCCTACCTACGGGGATGTGATAATAATGTCACCCGAGCGATGCAGCTCAAAGGAGGCACCCACCTACAAAGGGAGTGAAGGGGTGTAAAACAGGTGTGATTGATAGGGTGGCTCACGCCACTCGATCACGTACATGCTTTCCCACGTGCATTGTCGCAGTATCCTTTGGAAATTCTTCGCATACGCACCGTACACGTAGTACCGATGCCTCATAGCGGTTTTGCCGGTGTTGTGTGCGGTTGTGCCGGTGTTGTGTGCGACAAAACGACAGCACACAGGTACCTGGACGACGCAACGACTTGCAGGACTGCAATCACCACTCAAACTGGAACTACATGAGACGCAAGCAAGCGCCAGCTACAGACAACCAAAGCTAGAAACGACATCCAAAGAGGACAAGCGACTACCGAAAGATATGAAATACAGGACAAATTGGCTCGAATCGCAGCTTTGGTTGACTTGACCATGGCATGAAACTACGGTACGTAGATACCAGACACGACACTCAGTCTATGCAAAAAACGTCCGCCCCCGGCAAGTCTGCCATGACCTCAACCTCCGGGTCATCGATGCCTTCGCCATTTCCCGTGCTGTCATCGTCGTCGATTTCCAACACCTCCAACACGCCTGCCATCGTCTCCCCCTCCTCCGATGGGCCAGCCTCCTCCACGCCGGCAGCGGCCGCGTCGCCGTCTGCACGAAGTGGTTTCTCTTGGGCGTAGGAGTTGAGGTCCTTGTTGGCCCACGCCTCGTCTTCAGACCCATCGAAGGCAAGGGTCATGCCAGCCTTCCTCCAGCTCGAACCGATGCTCTCAGGGTCCACTTCATCCCACGCTTTCTTCACCCACTGCGCGAGCAATCCCCTCGATGGAGGCTCCGGGTAGCCGCGGTCGTTGCGCACGGCGTCGGTGGAGGCCATGTGGTCGTCGTACAGCCTGGACATGTTGGACTTGAAGAATTTGTTGACAAGTCCATCGCAAGGCTCTGGATCTTGGGCGTTAGGCCTCCGGGGACGAAAAACAGCGTTGTGTTGGACTCGTGCATCGCTTCCTTGCACAGGGCTGTCTTGTGCACGGTGTAATCGTCCCACGATAGCAGCGTGTCCGACTGACGGTAGTTGCCCAGGACCCCCTCACGACCCGGGCGCCGGTTCCATACTTGGGGGAGTCAAACATCCCTGAAGACGCGCTGCGTGTGCCACGCCTTGTGTCCACGGCGTGCACAACGCTATGAGGGTATGCTACCCCCTTCTTGTCCTTGCCCACTTAGAACTCTCGTTTGACGCTGTTTGCGGCGGGGGGTTTTCCCGGTGCCGTGGGGTTGCCCTTGAAGCTGAGCAGCGGCGGGAGTTTGCCGCCCTTCATGTTTGCTGCAAGCACGGCAGTCATGCGCAACTTTTCCTTTCCACCGGTTTTGATGGCCACCTCTTTCTGACCGGTGTGCTGCGAACGACAAAAATAAAAAGCAAAAAGCAATAGAGACAGCGAAGGCGACGAAAAAAGTCCATTTTGTAGATGAGAATGACAGCTCTTCACGCACAAAGTAACATATTGGTATTGCAGTACAGTAATGATGATAGCCAATGGCAAGAAAATTCTAACGCGGCATAAGCACAATACCAACGCCGTCTAGCCTTACTGGCTGGACACTGAAAAGGTATACGGCAAGAATTATGGCATTATAATGCCCACTGTTTGCACGGAATGCCAAGAAACGACAAGACAGACAGGCACATGATTCAAAGGACACTATTTGTACTCAACCGCCACGTTCGACGTGCCAGCGGCCTCCATCCACACAGTAGTTTCATCCATGCTGTAGCTCTGCTCCTCCTTGAACAACAGAGGTGGCTTCGAAGGCGCACTGCTCGCTGCCCCCGCCGTGCCCCGTCCTCCCACACCGTCTATTCCTCCGTGACGAAGCGCCCTCCATTCCTTGACGGCTTTCACGGCAATCGCAGGCCATCCGGAAGGGAGTTTTTGGCCTTGCCTGGTAACCGCTCGGAATGGCCACCGGTTCTTCTTGAGAAAGCTCCTGCACCAGTGAGTCTGCTTATTGCGATACTTCCTTTTGCCCTCCAGGTCGTTCGCTGCAGGCCTCGGGCCGAACCAAAGCGAGTTGAGCGATACCGTCTTGTTCTTTGGTTTGCGTGAGCCATGCGAATCCTCACAAACACTAATGTGCTGCAGACGCTCTGCGCACACATTATTTTGATGTAGATGTCGCCAGACTTCGCATGCCTGCCGCAAAACTCCGGCATATCCTTCCCTGGCTCTGCCCACAAGGGCTTGTTGGTGCACGATGGTTCTCCGCAGGGCGGTGCTGCTGCAGGGTTCTCAGCAGTAGCCGCGCTCAGGGTGTTGGTGATTAGCGGGAGAGCTGCCTTTTCGGGTGCGGGTGTGGGTGCTGTGAGACTCTCAACAGTAGGTTCTGCTTCGCGAGTTTCAGCGGTACTCGCGGAGGCAGGCGCAGCCGGTGATGTGGGAGTCTCAGCAGCGGTAAATTCTGTTGGGCGGGCCTCAGCAGTGCGTGCGGTGTTATTGGCGGCTGCTGAGGGAGTCGTCCCAGCAGCCCCGCGTACGTTCCCCCGGGGGGGAGTTCAAAGAAGGACGCTATGGAGCGTGGGGCCGCCGCTGGAGACTTACCCACTGCAAGCTGAGCCACGGGCTTTCAGCAGGGTTGCTAACTGCACCACCCTCCACGGCATTGTTGGCCTCCATGGCCTTTGCGAGTGGGTCGTTGCTTGTGATCTCGTGCCCCCACGCTGTCACACCGTGTGATAAGCGGGGGCTCCGTCGACAACATGCGGCCCAACTTCAGGGGTGTGGTATCTTATGTCAGCGTTTGATAAAATGACGCTTTTTCGGGATTGAAAAATATAGCACACGGGTGTGGTACAATTGTGTACTCCCTCTGGTCCGAAATATAGTCAAAGATCGGTTGGGAAATCCGGAATTTGAGATCGGTTTCTACTATAAGGCCATATAGAGGTTGCGGGATGCCGGAGAGGCTTGATATTGCAGCGGGCACCGAAAAGGATTGAAAAATAAAACAATCGCTCAAAAAGGGAGGATAGTTCGCTGGTATCCCCGCGTTTAGGGTTAGAGTTAGGGTTAGGGTTAGGGCAACAACAATCCCGTTGTTGCTCCCAGCGAGGAGGTGCCGAATCACCTCCTCTCTTTCCAATCTGTTGAGATTCTTGCGTTTTGACACCTGGGAGGCACCCCCAGCAGCGGACATGTCTCGCCAGCAGATGGGAAGGCTCTGGACCGGAGGGTCAAAGTTGGGGTGTTGATTTCGAGTGGCTACTGCTGGGGTAGGACCAACCTTTTAGCGGGACTTGTCGAAAAGAGCCCGGTTCTGTGTGTCCCACGTAACGCGGCGAATCCAAGGGAAAAAACGGTTCGCAAAAATATTGTAATGGGATCGAGATAGCCCACATTTTGTCCCTACCGATCTTATATTTCCGACCAGAGGGAGTACGTTTTCTGAGGGGTGTGGTATCGAGTGAAAGTGTGATATCTTATGCAACCTACGGTAGATGCAGGGATGCAAGAGCAACATGCAGCATTTGATGCATATGTGCAAAACGACTTTTCTATTTCTGCGCTCTCATTTTACATTGAGTGGCGGCTACGATCATGTACTGTATGAAGGAGGATTGGACGAGCCGAAACAGTTATCGTACGCTGCGTTTATCATGTATCATGGCCGGCTGTGGCCAGCAATTTCGACTCTACATTCTCGAGTATTGTGGATTCCAATTCTTTGGAATTATCAATCGTAGCCGCCTCTGCTTGAAGACGTTGTCGATACGGCTGTGTTGTCTTCATCGCGTCGCGGCCAACAACAAAGACACCCCTGACGTGTCCAAACACATGACCAAACGCTGAGAGGTGGCACACACCTATGAGATGGCGGGAAGATTCATGATCTCACGGCATGAGTGGCACACAACTCCCTCTGTGGATGCGTCACCGCAGCATGGGGGCGACCGTAGAAAAAGTCATCCTAGAATCGAAGCTGGTTGGTGCATTACGTATGATATTGTAGTCCCCTATTGTATTGCATGTACCGCTACACGTGCCCGGCAAGTCGATAGCCAATAAACGCATTCACATTTTTCAAATACCCAACCTCTTACCCCGACCACGACACGGGGACCCATTATATGCTACACAGAAGCAAGTTCCAAACTTGCAGCTCAAGCACGCCCTCTTGACTCCAAAGCACCACTACAGTTTGCTTGTTCGTAAATACCAAAAAAAGAACATCGCCCGAGATTAGAACGCCTCATGCCGGCTTCTCCGGTCAACCGTACCCCATGAATAAGAAACACAGGGCCCATCTACGCAGCAACGTTTGACTACTTGCTTCCTCAACACGCCCAAAGTTCGACTACGCTGACGAGACCCCGCACGAAGTCATTGCCACAATTCGCCTCGCTGCCTTCATCTACGACAACACCACACAATGCTTGGCCTGACCTTTCGCAGATGACTACAGGCATCACCCCGTGTTCCATTCTCCTCTAGCGACCCTCTTGCGGGTGGTTTATTCTACGGCGGGAAGGGTGTGANGCCACACCCGAGAACGCCATGCCCATCGAGGTGCATCTCACCTACTTGGTCATACTGCCATGTGTGAGCACGTTCAATTCACTCTTATCAGAATACTGGTCCATCGCAATACACGCCCCCCAGCCGGTTGGTGTTGCTTGCGCCCTTGTGCAAAGCGCTAGTTCCTCCGGGTTGGCATTTGAACCCCCATCATCACCCTCCGGGCGCTCTTCGCACACATCGCTCGCTGACGCTTCGATGACACACACCGAAGACCCGAATAAAAAATAGAAGACGGTATTCGCACTCCGAAAAACCGTGGAAAGAACCACCGGGGAAACACGGAACAGGGGGGACCTTGAAATACGAACCACGGCATGCCAAAGACACACCCGCAAGTCATTCCGGGACGGTTAGCGCGATGTTGGCTTCGGATCGCGTACAGGAATTCCGTAAAGTCAATATGGGACATCCCGCGAATAATCGAAGCAGAAGCAGTAGATACGTTACGGAAACATTCCGGGAAAAATAACAGCAAGCATCCCGGGTCGACCCCAGAGTCCATAGCAGAGGAACGGCGTCCGAAAAGACACGGGGAGAAAACAACAAGGCGGGCGGATAAGGCAACAGTGGGTAGGGAGGGCAGCGACAGAAGCGGCCAAACGAAAACAAGATCGCGTGAGAACCAAGGTGTGGCGTGCGTGTACGCGCCGCCACCTACACTCGGCAAGTTCAAGTGAAAGCAGCACGTCTCAAAGTGAATGAGTGAGCCACCAAAAAAATCCAGTCCAGTCCGGCTCGAACATTTTCGTTGTTTCTGCATGAAGGAATTTTTCGATTTCCGACGCTCACGATTCCCATTCACCGTGAGTCACTTCGGAAACGGAAAAAGACCCTCTCCCGGCAAGAAACTGAAGAAACTGGAGCACTTGTGTCATTCGAAGTTACAGCCAAGGGGCAGAGGTGGGAGAGAGGGGGTGGATCGAACCAAACACCAAAAGGCAGCCCGAAACACCAAAGGTCAAACATATTTGGCCTGACCACACTTTCAAAGATCACTCAAACACATCGCACACTGTATTCCTGATTTCCTCCACGACCTTTGGTAATAAGTGTCAAAGAAGCATCTACGCATCATCACGTTCTTCAACACCTTGAAAGCAGCTCGAACACGGGTCAAAAACATGCAACAAGACACAAGTCGTTTCACTTCAGCTCGCGCCAGTAGCGTGCACGGATTGGCGGACTCACTAAGGCCTATCTCGCTCATCGGCAACCCCGGACCGAGCACTCCCGCTTGCTGCGCGTTGACGCCTTCCTCCACGTCGTCCGCCCAAGCGATCATCCGGTCCAACTGGTCCAGGGACGTCACCAGTCTGTGCAGAGACAGCAGCCGCCTGCGCATGCAGTCGCACACGAATCATGTGTGTGCGTGTTGTCATTGTTGCTCTAGCATCGACAGCGCTAAAAAAACGGCTGACCAATGAAAACACGTCAGTGTCAGTGTCAATGACTGAGAGTCGACCCCGCTTTAAGGACGCTCGCGTTAAAAAAACTCCCCGCTTAAAGAAAACTTGTTTTGC